GCCCGTGGGTTCGAGACCCACCTGGGCAACTTGGCGAGACCTCATCTCTACAATAAAAATCAAAAAATTAGCCAGGTGTGGTAACGCACGCTAAGGATTTCACACATCAGGCCAATGTTGTTCTACCTGCACTTTCGTCACCTGAAGTGTCTTTTCTAAGCAGAATAAAATGGAAGTAGTTCCAGCTACTTGGAAAGCTGAGGCGGAAGGATCAACGGAGCCCAGCAGGTCGAGGCTGCGGTGGCCGGAAGTGGCCACTGTACTCCAGTCTGGGTGACAGAGTGAAACTCCAACTCAAAAAAAAAAAAAAAGAAAGAAAGAAAACACTCATCATGAAATGGGCAAATGCGTTGAAGGAATCTCCAAAAAGAAAAAAGAAAATCTGCTGAAGCCAAACACAGCCTCTCACAATGCTAGTTGGCCCACTGATGCCAATGGGTTCCTAGAACACTAATCTAGTAGGAGAAGCCAGTACTACAAGGGGTCCACCCTTCAAAAAGATAATTCCGCTTTTTGGGGTCCCCTCCTTGTATTATTATGATCAGGATGGATTTGTGGAGGAACTTGTGAACTGGGACTTAACGGGGAGGAGTTGGGTGAACAAAGAGGGAGAGGAAGTCCGGTGCAGGCAAGGACTACAGCTAAGACCAAGAGTGGAGCACGCAGACAAAACTTGAAAGCCTTCAAACGCTTGTTCCCACTCACCTGAAACATTGTCATGAGGCTGAAAATAAGACTATTCCCACCCACATCCTCCAAAGCTGGGACGCTCGCTGAATCACACCTCTCTCTCAGCCATGAAGGCGGCCAAGTGCTGGTTCCTTTCTTTGACCACTTAGGCATGAAACATTTTCCTCCAACATATTTTGTCTACAGACACATGCTTCGTGGGTTTAGGTGTGGAGGGAGTGGGGAGAGAAGGCAGGAGAAAGCAAGAGAAAACTCAAAGGAAAAGGATGCTTCCCAAGGGTTTCACTTTTTGCTCCACTTCCTTAAAAAAGCAGGCATCATAAAATTTCATTTTCCAATCATTCATTCACTCAGCAAATATTGGCCAATCATACACTATGCGGAGGGCTCATTCTAGTCACAGTTCTAGCCGCTACTGAAGACAGCATTGAAGCTAAGGATTTCACACATCAGGCCAATGTTGTTCTACCTGCACTTTCGTCACCTGAAGTGTCTTTTCTAAGCAGAATAAAATGGATGTTGTTGTACATCGGGTGTACAATTACGCTCTGGTGTCATTTCAGATCATGGAATTTCTGCTCACAAAGAACCAACATTGCACCCACCCTCCCTTGCAGCCATGGATCCTGCCTCCAGGGGTCTGCCTTTTTTTTTTTTTGAATTGGAGTCTCACTCTGTCGCCCAGACTGGAGTGCAGTGGCTGCTCCCGGCCACCGCAGCCTCACCCTGCTAGGCTTCGACGATCCTTCCGCCTCAGCCTTCCGAGTAGCCGGAATTACAGGCGCATGCTAACACGCCCGACTAATTTTTTGAATTATTATAGAGATGAGGTCTTGCCAAGTTGCCCAGACGGGTCTCAAACCCGCGGGCTCAGGTAATCCACTCACCTCAGCCTCCCAAAGCACAGGATTACAGGCTGAGCCACCGAGCCCGACTGGGATCTGCCTTTTTATAGAAAAGGAACCATCCACATGCCAGACTAGTACCTTTAGAAGCCAGCCTGTTATAAAGAGCAAATGCAGAAAAGGAACGTTTTGATAAAGACGCTGGCACCACCGTGTCTCATTTGAAAAACAGAGTCTTTTGTTTGATTTTAGTTTTAGTTTTAGGTTTTTTAAATGAATTTAATGTTAGCCTTATTATAATATAAGGTATCCCCATATATAATACTAGAAAAGTAAAGTTTTTCTGTATAAGCCTGAAAAAATATGACTTCCAAAGTAGTCAAGATGCTAAATCATCTGCCATTTAATTGGAGATTTCTTTATAGTGTATCAGATTTAGCACCCTCCTTGGCAGATTGAAGGTGGTTGTTGCCACTTTCTTCCTAAGGTACAACCATCTTTCAAATTATGGAAAAAAGAGTCTTTTTGTTTGTTTGTTTGTTTGTTTGTTTTGAGATGGAGTCTCCCTCTGTCACCCAGACTGGATTACAGTGGCATACTTGTGGCCACTGCAGTCTCAACTTGCTCAGCTCAGGCAATCCTTCCACCTCAACCTTCCAAGTAGCTGGAACTCCAGGCACGCACCACCATGCCCAGCTAATTTTTTGATGTATTGTAGTGACAAGCTCTCACCAAGTTGCCCAGGCTGGTCTCGAACCTGTGGGCTCAAGCAGTCCTCTCGTCTCCGCCTCCCAAAGGGCTGGGATTACAGGCATGAGCCATCATGCCGGGCAAGGAAAAAGAGTCTTTACAGATGCACTCAACATAGGGACCTGCCCTCCCTCCTAGCTCTGAGATAACAAAAATTTGTGATGGTAAGTGGGATCTGACACCAGTATTTTGGTTAGGGAAGCAATAGGGAGCGGTGTGGTCTGCGACTAAGGGGGATCACCACTGCTCGGCTGACAGTCCCTGCAATCAGCCTGACACTGGGTCTCGAGGGACCAGATCTTCTGATTTGTTCAGAGCAGCCAGAAATTTAGAGTTTTATATGAATTCTCCCAATTTTTGAACACTGGCAACTAACAACAAAAACATTTTATGATTCCACATGGGCCCAAAGAAAGGACGTCTGGCATAGGTAGGTG